TTCAACAATGTATCTGGCTTTATTTCTCATCACTGTGTAAAATATAGTGTTGTTGGTTGTGATCTTGGAGTTAGTCAGTCATATTCCTCTTGGGGAATAAAAATGCAGGTTACGTAATCGGCAGCATTAGTGAAGGAAGAGAGCTGTCTCATAATTGCCACACTCTGATAAATGAAAGAGTTTGGAGCCAGTCTGGGCCGTCGGCTGGAGAAAGCTGATCCTAATGCTGCTGACCGCGGTGACTGTCACAGGTCACCAGTTCAGGCTTTAGATACTGGAGTCTTTAGGCGTCTTTGTCTGTAACTTTACCGTGAGCTGGTCCTCTGTCAAAACTGGACTCTGTTTCAGCTTATTGACTTCCTTAATGTTGGAGCTGCTCGTTAGAGCTCTTTAGAGATGCTTAGCTTAACTATGACGCCAGTCCAACAAAGCAAAAAGTTCGGAAACACAGAAAAATAATCCTATACCTAATATAAATTTAAGTTAATATACAGGTGTCTCAGTTAATGAGAAATGAATCGTAAGGGCTAATTTTAGAAACACTTTTTAACAAGTAAACATCATATATTTGTTCATTAATCAAAGATTGGGCTATTTTAGGTACACCACTATCTAACACAAATTAATATGATATTGGACCAATGAGAAAGAATGCTTGACAGAAACCTATAGAACCTATATTATGGCCTTCATAATAATGACACATGTCTACCAGATACTCATCATTTACGCAAGATATAAGTCACAAATGGTTTACTCATGTCTTTGTGCAAAGCACATTCATTGGAAGTAATAGAAGCAGCAATAATGAGCACAGCTGTGTAGTGATTCCCCTTTAAAACTTTGATGGAAATTCACAAGGCATGAGCAACGACTGGAGTCTGTGCTTTTCTTTTCTGAAAAAGGTGATTAATGCTTTTTATTCGCTGTAAATCATAATAATATTAAATCAAAATGAATATAAATAGAGGCTGAAACTGTAGCTGTCCTAATGGAATTAATCTAAACAGGTTTCATATTTTAACAGAATTACAGAAATTAATTCTCTTTTTGATTTAAAATGTTGAGACACTGTCCTGGTTTCTCAAACTTTTGACGATTTGCCGCGCATTTATTGCTTTTTTTTGTCCAAAACCATCTGTTTGGCGCCTTTCTTGGGTTTAAACAGGAAATTGCGTCTGAATTTGAGCCAGTATTAGAACCAGCTTTTCTGTTATGACATCATCTAGAAAAACTGATGTGAGTAGCTCTGTCACTTTGGGCTATAAATGTGGTCTTCCCCTACTTGCGACTCCAAATACAGCCAGGTTTATTTTTATTATTTATTAACTGGTTAAGCTTCTTGAAGTTTACAGGCTCTTCAACCAAGTCTGCTGCTATGTATCCTTTTATGACATCATAGGGTTTTCCAAGGCCTATTTTAGTATGGTACACATTTTGTCTAAAATGTGCCAAATTATTTAAGTTAATTTTTTTGTTTGTTTGTTTTTTTAACTGTCAAAACCAAGAATTATATTAAACTTTTTCCACTGCTCAGTATTAAACTAAGGAAGTACTATTGAATTAAGTGAATCAAATGATCTGTTTTTGTTGTAAAGGGATGTGTAGGTCATTGTAGATCCAAAACCTTTAAAGGCTTTTGCACATTTACTGTTTTAACAGAAAAGCATCCAGTTTGTAAATTCTTTTGGGCTATATTGAACAAGTCAGTACTTAGTTATAAGAATAGGAATTGAACCATTCTTTTTTAATGCTTACTGGAAGTCAATCTTAACAATTAGGAGTCGGTGTAAGTTGAACAAACTTGGCTTATCGGTAAAAGTGACTGGATAGATGTTCTGTTTACTATGAAAGCTTGGTTAAAAAAGAATTATATTTGTGCTGTACCTTACATGTTCATTCATCTGTAATATTTTCACTCTGATTAAAGATAAAAGGTATCTCTGCATAAATCACCTTTGCTTTAAAGTTGTTTTGTATCATTCTTGAGTTGAAGGGGGTGCAAAATAAAATCAGTTCCAGAGCCACAATTTGACCCCATAGAGATGCATCGATCAATAAATCGCAATCGGCCCGTAGCAGCCTTATCGGGATTGATTATTGTTCTAAGAATAGGTCGAAGGAGGCCAATCGGATGACGTTTATCACAACAAACCTCCACCGGGGCATGCGTGCATTTCCAGTTCAACTTATATTAATAAAACTGGAATACAAGTTCATTAATTCCAGTAATTTGATTTACCAAGTTAAAGACATTACATAGATTAATTGCCTACAAACTGTTTTCAAGCATGTATTTATGTTAATTTTGATATTTTTACACAAAACTAAGGAAAACATGACGATATAGAATAATTATTAGAAAACTGAAAAAGGCAATGGAGAAACGTTTGCTTTATTGAAAGCATTGTATGTGTAAACCCTGCTATAACTGTAGGGTAAAACTTAGAGTTTCATTAGTGGTACAATCAGACAACAAACAAAGCAGACTCTTTAGGAATGATGCCGTTTTTTCTTCTACTCCTCCAGAATCTTATGACCATCAGAGCTGTTGTTGGGCCGCCTAAAGATGATGTTGTCATGTGATTTTTCTTCACTATCTGACTACGACTACCTAATTACCTCCCTTTAGCTGAAATGGGATAGCATAATATATTTTTATTTTTTTAGAAAATGAAACGTGTGAATTTGCCTTGTTTTTTGCTGCACTTACTGCCTCCTTGCAGAAAGACAAAGGCCCACAAACAGGAAAACGGAAAGCTATTTAAACATGCAGGCATACAGGAAGAGAACCAGACATCAATATGAGAGTTTATGCAAGAGTTTGTTCAGATTGGTGAATCAATAAGAGGCCGTGTGAGCTAACAGAATACCTGTGGCAGCGGTCTGGAAATGACTCACTCTTTGTATAAAGAAACACTGATTTGTTATTTTCGTACCTGACACCTTGCTCTTGTGGGTCGACATGTCGACTTATTGTGAGTATTGGTGTTAAACATCAGCGTCTAACTTCCTCACTTAGTTTTTTTTTTTTAAGTTAAATCATCCATTTGTACTTATAAAAACCTCTCATTGTGGGATTAGCCTTAAAAGCGCCCACAGCACTGAGTCAGAACCCCCCCCCCATCTGTCTGACTACAAACATACACACATCAATGATGCATTAGTGAGAAAAGCATCTTTGCTTGCTCAACCCTCCATCTTCACTGTGGAATCCCCCCTTCCTCCCCATCTATGGTTGTTTGGGCTTTTTAGAGGATTTTCTAACTGTCAAGAAAAAGTCTATCTGGCTGAGGTGAAGTTAACATTGTGGGCGTGTAAGGGCTATTGGATGTGAGATTAGGCTATACAAACAAACCTGACTAGACATTAGTGTTTCAAAGGGATTAGGTGGTCTTGAATCATTGAGACACACCACACATGTAACGTCCATTTAACCATAGACAGAGCTGGACTTGTGGATCCAGCATGTTGCTGAACATTGAATTCTTCACATAGCAGTTGATTATTTAAAGCCATCGATCAGAACCAGTTCAGTCCTTTAGGGATCCAGGCACAGTAGAATAGCTATGCCAGTTTGTTCTCCTAAAAAGTGACAGAAAATATTTATAGAGAGACGTTAAAAGATGGTGCCCTGCACACCTCTGCTGTTTTTAATCTGGGCACAGTTGAATGTTTCAGATCGGAAAGAAAAGTTAGGGTAAAAGAGTAAATCTAAAACTGATTAAGTTGTATATATAAAGGTTTTTAAATGTTGAGCTTATTTTCAGGGAAAATCAAATCAGCTATTCATATAAACTCAGCCCTGTCTGGAAAGGCCAGTGTCTAATAATAATGGTTTCACCATTTGAAAGCAACAACTGCCTTAAGCAGCAATGGATCTTCTACATCCCTCATTTCTCTATGCAGAAATATTTTAATCAAGGCCATAGACTCCAGAACAGATTGAAAACCCAAGACACTCACACACTTTTTTGTTTGTTTTTTTGTATGTACACTGCATATCCCAGCTTTGCTTTAACCTACACTAACACATTGACAGCTAAACACAACATACAGAGCAATCTATAAAAATAAATAGCACGGTTTAAAGGCTGTTTTGTAGGACGTACAGGGAGAGAGGGTAAAATCTTAAAGCATATTCATGAATGCTTTTTTTTTTTTGCTCTTAATATTCCCATGACAATAGATAAGATGTTAAAGCACACCGAGGGCCTGATCTCTAAAGATTCACACTAAGAGGCACTGAGCTGAATGTGCAATTTGTTTCAGTACGTGCAATAGGTGGGTGTGTTGCAGGTGATTTACAAAGATTGCTGCGCAAATGTTAAGATATGAAAACCTGTTTGGTTAAAATGAGCAGATTCCCTGTTCTACAGGAAGTTTGAGACAGGCTGTAAAAGATGGAGTTCTGAGCCAAGTATTTAGAGGTAATAATTATTGTTTAAAAAAATTATGCAAAATTATATTTATAGTGTGCCTCGTATATTATCTGTAAGTGTAGAAATATTCCTGTTTCAAAGAGATGCATACATTTATCACACTACTACTTTCAGAAGTACTAAAAAAGACCAAAAAAACGGCGTCTGCTGTTGGAAAATGGCTTTTCACAAAGTAAATGTTTATATTTGCATATCCTCTAGCTGTGAGTGTACTCAGTTTTGTCATTAAAATATGATCTGAATAGTGATGAGGGCAAACGTCCCAAAAAAAAAAAATCTGTCTGCTGAATGGCAAATGTAAATAACTTTGGACCCTTTTTAAAGACCCATTTTAAGGCAAACAAACCTTCTTAAGATCAGGACCTGAGAGTGTTGCAATTTTCAATTGTTAAACTTTTTTTTTCTTTTCACACAGTTCTTTTAAAGATTTTCTTCAAAATATTTTAATGTATTTTTTCTCATAAAGGATGACCTCATCATTGTATAATAGTGGAGGCTTTGAGAACGGCAGCTGATGCTTCGCCATCCTGACGCTGTGTGATGTTTTGTTGTCTGCAGGGCATGCGAGTGCTGGTGGATGCCCGAGACAAACTGGGCATTAGCTGGCAGAGCTGTGAGAACGAGAAGCAGGGCATGCTGGTGATGTCATGGGAGGGGCGTGTGGGCGCCTCGGGGGTCGAGCCCAGTGAGTTTCAGCTCTACGTGATGGCGCTGAGCGCTCTCTGGGGGGACGCAGGCATACAGGAGGCCTACTCACGACGCTCAGAGTTCCAGCTGGTAAGTAGATTAAAGACAACTTTCACAGTTTGGTTGTGCGTCCTGCTGCCCCTCATCATTGCAGCTGCCTGGTGTTTTACTTTTAACTTTTATTAATCTGCACTTGCTATAAAATGATAATGTGAAAGTAACAGTCCCAGTTTTATCATGCCAGAACCAGGTAATCCAGCGGCCTTTGCACATGTTCACACTGCCCTGGCATTCATAGAATAAATTCATCTTTTAGTGCAGTAGCGTATCCGCACCTAAGAGAAGTGAAATAAATACACAGCTTTTCCAATAGATACACCAGCATTGCTAGTGTTTGTCATTTTTTTTACATAAATAGTAATTTCCACCTTGTTGCAGTTTGTGTATTTGTCTCTGAAGAGGGTGGAAACAGCGTAGTGTTAATAGTTTGTAATTAATACTGCGCAGGACTGTGGGGTTTTTAAAAGAAGAAGTGAAAGTGGTTTGGTTGTTTTTTTAAATGGTATAAATAGAGTAGCATATAAAAATACATATTTAATATGGATAAATATGGGTTAGTGACCTTAAAAGTTATATGAAAAACAGATTTTATTATCAACTCTCATTTTCACATGAATGCCTCCTTTCTTGTTAAATGTATTGCATCATGGACATTTTAGAACACCAGAAAAACTTAGATAAGAATTTACTCAATCAGACTGCTAGGAAACTGAAATTAGTCGTCTGTTGGTCTTTTAGTCGAGTGATGATCTGAAACATATGGATTAGTCAACACAGAAACATAACAATCAACCTTCTTCCATGGTCACCTCAGTCCTCTGACCTACATCCTATAGAAATAAAGGAGTGGGGGGGCAGAGATAAGGTTGCTGATCAGAAATCCCTCTCTCTGTGCTTTAACCTTGTGAAATATGAGGAATCTAATGGTTGTATAGATGAACATTTACAGGGTTGTAATTAGGTGAGAAGCTAGGCTTTTCATTTTAATGGAAAGTATCATTAAAAACATATTTTTTTAATGTGGGTTTTAATTCCCTCACTAAATAAATGTGGTCAGATTAAAGGTGGATGTTTCTAACTATAATGTGAGGATTTCTTAGCTCAATAACAGATTAGTTGGCTTTCCTCACATCATTACCTGCCGCTTGTTTTCTTCCTGCCTGTGAATAAACCAATGTTTCTGTGTTAGTTTTATTTTCAAAAACATACAGACTTCCTGTTATTTTGTTGGTTGGTTTTTGATTTGGTTTGTTAGTTGTTGTTTTTTTTACCCTGGTGCTTTTAGTCCCTTTTTGGGATTGGTTTTGGCCGTTAGTACTTCAGTACTGAAACGGTATATTATTGTTGGGATTCTTGGAAAGCTTCGTCCCCAGGTGGCTCACTTATAAGTGATTTTTGATCATGTTGTGGAGTTATTATTCGTGAATTTCATTAACCTTCCATCAGATTTGTTGACATTTTCCTTCCTGAGTTTGAATTGTTTTGTAAAGGAGCACTCACTCACTGATTCACTCACTGATTCACTCACTTGTGAGTGTTGGGCTTATGCTACTTCCGCTGTCTGCCTTTTCACTGCATAAAAACTAAAGATCTCCAATAAACAGTAATCAATCATCTGTCTGCTTCTAAGTTTTACTAACAAGTGGATGATTTAGATAAGGTTATTGGTTGTGCAGATATGGAGGATGCACTGCGTGGGGTCCAAGCTCCTTTTACTGTGAGTAAATGGATAAAAGGATGGGGGAGTATGTGAATTAGTGTTCTTAGCTGTGTGCTCTGCTCTGAAGCTAAATATGCTAACCTAAGGGAAGAAAACGTGATCAGAACTTCTTAATATGTTCTGCAACACGTCAACTATGTTTCTATATCAAAATACTGATGCATTTCAGCCGGGGTTCAGGAAATTCCATGTGGAAGGTCATTAGATGGTTTTCAAACTCATTGAGATGTGATCCCTGAGGTTTATGGAGGGCCAAAATATATCTAGAAATAAATGTAAATGTAATAATAATAATAGGTTTGATATATAAAACACTTAACACTTATATGCAAGTCTCAAAGTGCTACAAAGTGACTATAAAAACATTAATCACCTTATATAACAACAGTAATTAATTATCATTTAGATAAATTAATATGACTTTGTATTTATGCATAAACATAGAGTGAAGTAATAATTTTTAGGGGTGAGAGGCCTGTTGGAACCCCTGACCTAGACCCACACATGTGACTAGAAAATGTGTTTTTTTTAGACTTTTTGGGCTATTCCACAGATAAAAATTATGATTCAAAAACTATTCACGGACTGATATGAAGATTAGGCTGATATTGATCAGTATTAAACCAATTAGCTGTTGTTATTTTTAGCTGTTGGCTGAATTGGTTATGCAACATATTGATATTAGTATTGTATTAACATTCAACAGCAAAATAATAAAGTAATTGTTGTTCATGTCGGCTGTAGGGACAGTGGAAAATGCATTTCTTAAATTTTGAAAAGTTCGGTTTGGAGAAATCATAAGAGAATGATCAGAGGCACTCCATTTTGGGTAAGAAAGCCTTAGAATAATACGTGGTTACGAAAAATTGCTTAGGAAACTTGCAGATTATAGAAACCATCTTCATTTCAATTTGTTGTTCAGTTTACATGTTTTCTAAGCTAAATCAAGTTTTTGGGGTACTATATAAAGCTTGAACTCAGTGCTATTTCTGACATTTAAATTAAAGAAGCTTCCTGGATGGGAAGCGAAACGTCTTCAAACTGGAAACCAAGTCCATTGGAATGTTTTTTAACTTTTTTGGAATGAGAGAATCGATTCAGAATATGATTTTTTTATTTTTTATTTTAACACAGTGACTTAGACTGTGGTTCACTTGGAGTCAAAATGCCTCAGAAATAGTTTTAACCTTTCCAAATTATATATCAGATAAGTTATCTCTCCTGTATTCTGTTTTTTTAAGCACCATTTGTTGCTTTCGGGAGCTAAAATGAAGGATCAAACAAAGCGATCTCTTGATTCTGAGAGTCATTTTTCTATTCGGCCTGTGTAGAGCCTTAGAAATTGACCTCTCGCTTTTCTATAACTGTGGTTAATCGTGGTTAAATCATTTAATAAGGCAGCTGATTACGCTTTCACATAGGGACAGATTGATTTAGATAGCTTTTTCTGTCCTTATTAAATGAAATCATCATAAGAAAACAGCTGTTTGCATGTGCGATTATTGTCTTTGTCTTGTTTTATGTTTAATTGGTTGCATGAAACATTCAAGAGTAAAGAAAAAGCAAAAACGGCGTAAATCTATAACGGGGCAGTTTAATGATCCATGACAATATCAGCTCTCCATAGAAAGTAACGGGATCATATGAGAAATGTTGAGACCTGAAAACTGTATAAAAATAAGTCACGGTGATCTGCTCCGAGCAGCAGCGAGGGAAGCTAGAGGAAGAGCAGTTTTCTTTCTGCATAACTTTTTTCTTTTTATTTGAAGACACTCCAAAGATGTAATTATTGTTCTCCAGTGGAAATGAAACCGGTGAAGTGGAGCCCCGTGGAGCTTCATCTCCCTTGTCACATGCAGCAGAGCCAATCTGAAATATCTCTTTGACGTCAGTGCGATGCATTTTCCTGATGTATTTAATAAACACTGATAAACAGTGTGTTGCACACAGAACAGAAGCTTTTTTTTTTGGTTGTTTAGTAATACAGCTCGTCACAAAGGAGAAAACATGAAAATAAAACAGTTTGGGTTGTTTTCTAAAAAATGATATTATTAATAGTAGCAGAAAGCATTTTCTAAACCTCCTTCTTGAAATGAATATTAAACAGCCTGGGGTTACTTTTCAGGGAGTCTTTTTAACACATGTTGTTTTTAAAGAGCCTCCCTGCTGCCTTCAGGGACCCAAACAAACCGAGTCATTTAGAGTAAACTCTTATTTCAGTTTACTGAAGAGTTTGTGACAAACACAACCACCAGTGAAATCGTTAACTCAACAAGCAGCTACAAATCTGCTGTAAAGAGGGTCCAGACAGACTCTTAACGGCTCACCAGAAGGTTATGAATTACCACAAGACGTATCGTGAGCAGGGAAACCAGCTGGTCTTGTTGTCAGCGCCTTCTCCATCGTTGGCAGCAGTCGGATTTTATTTGGACTCTGCGGAAAATGACACGGCGATGCTGCAGTTTGCTCAGGGTTGTAAATTTGCCCTTTTACCTTGTTTGGCATTTATCAGTGACATAGCAGTGTGGAGTCAGGCAGATGCCACTTCCTCTCACTTAACATGCTGTGCGTGGGTGTAGAGGAGATACACAAGTTTAGGTCAGACTATCTGGACTCTGAGCCTCTATGTGTGCCTGACTCCTCTCTGGCTTTAAAGCCGGGCCACAAAGAAAACACAAGCAGCCCCTTTTATTTGTCTCTGTTTATAATCAGCACTTAAACATGGGAGTGTTGAAAGTGTAACAAAAGGGGGTGGGGCTTCCTGTAGAGGACAAACGGAAGCCAGAAGGAGCGCTGACCAAAGGAAAATAGTTAAAATATGAATTAATAAGCCTATTAATAGTGGTAAGGCTCTAAACCTGCTGCCCGCAGGCTTCTGTCTGTGCATCACAACACGCACTACACACTGAGAGGTTCTCTGTTCTGATGGACAGAATGGTTCAAAGCGTTGTTAGGTTCTGCCTTGAATGCATCAGCTATATTTATTAAGATCAGTTCATGGGCTGAAGCTTGCATGTGGTTTGATTTCCAGCGCCACTTTATTAAATTATTTATTGTCTAGTTTTTTCTTTCCTCAATCCTCTGTAGTCAGAAAAATCCACTACAGCAGTGGTCTTCAATGTTTTCCAGGCCAAGGACCCTCAAACTGATGGCAAGATGGAGCGGGGACCCCCTAATTATGTATATTTTGTGAAATTGTGTTATATCAAACTGGTCCTATAGTCACTCTGTTACAGATGGAGTAATGTAACGAATGTAATTTCTCCCTGGGATTATTAAAGTATTTCTGATTCTGATTCCTCCTTGAGGG